AATTATACACAACATACACGAGGCATTTGTATTCATAATACAGAAAGCATTTGAGCAACAGCAGAATCATAGGAACATAGGAAACATCTGAGACCCCTTGTCTTCTCTCAGTAGAGACGGAGGACTTTCTCCTAGCTTTTGTTGCTGAAAAAAACCTGAATGGAAGAACCAATCCAAAGTCTTAAGGGTGGTGACATTCAGAAGTTATGTGATTGCAAACACAAACATTGCTGTTATACATACATAATACATAATCTGTACCATAACGATGCTTGGGACATCCATTTTCAACACTTTAAAAAGCTCTCTCTTTATTTTAGATTCAGTGTAACTTACACTATATCCTCCATTGTCCATTGCATAGAGATGCAATAAAGACCAATAAAGAGACGTCAATAAGTCCACTTAGAAATCAGAGAAACACACATAACTCCGGAGCTTCATAAAGTTTTTAAGTTTTCTTTCATGTCAAAGCTGTTGCGTTATAGTTGCCTGTATACTTTGTGTACATTGCAAACAGGAATCAGAATCAGAATAGAATCAGCCAAGTAAGTTTTTACACTAACAATGAATTTGTCTTGGTGCATTGGTGCATAAAATATAAAAATCACACAAGAATAAATTACTTTTTAAAATATAAATAAATAAGAAGTGCAAATAGCTAATTCAGCACACTTTTAATGGTGCCAATTTGCAAAAATGTAAACAAATGTAGGCTAACTAACTCACTGACTTATGTCAACATACTACAGTGTCAGACTTTAAATAACCCTGATTTGAGGTCAATCTGATGATTATGTAAAGAACGATAAAAACCTCTATTTAACAGCTATTCAGTAGGCTATATGACATCTGTGTTCTTGTTACCACACAAAGACCCCTAAAATATATTTTCTCAATCTGCTTCTTACTGTGAGTGATGAGGTCCAACATGAAGTTAGACCATCTTCATAATTCCTTTTGATAAAGGTGATATCACACACTTCTGAGCACAAATCAGGATTTACCAACATTTTAATTAAATGTCAGGACAGTTGGAGGACTGTCGAATGTTAAAATATTAATAAATGATAACTAAATATGTTTTTTTAACACCTTAACTTTGTATGTTTCATATTTAGTCATTAATATTTTAAGTCATAGAGAATAATTAATAACATTTAATCTTAACTTTTCAATGGTTTTAAAATTTCCCCCAGATGTGTAATGACCATAACTGTGCTTTATTAAATATTTGGAAGAACATTAATCAGTATCTTCTCTCACACAGTTCACAGGCAGTGATCCACTGAGTGATCATTAGTGTTTAAACTTCCTGGATGATAGAGTGGTCTGATTGTGACTGGCCAGTGGTAGCAGGTCTTATGATGCGTGAGGTAAAGTTATCAAAGCAGGAAGTACAGACCAGAATCAACAGCTCACAGTCAGACAGATACAGTACACTGGCTCATTTCACCATGATATTTCATCCATTGTAAGAGCCCATCTAGCCAGCCGAGGCACTGGTTATGGTTTAATTAAAAGTATAAATTACTTAACCCATAATTTATTGAACATAAGCCACTTGCAATTGTAGCAGTAAGATTTATTCTGTTATTGTAAGATCTAAAACATGGGACCATTTTTCAGTTCATAGTTTGTGTCAGTATGTTCCCTACAGGTCCAATTACAAGATTAACATTTTAGAAAAGGCTGACATTTGCAAATCCTCCATTTATTAAAAAAGTCTTTATAGTTTGATATTTTACAGAAAGCTCTCAAGCAGCTTTATGGAGCAGAGTGCTGATATTGTGTATCAAGCATTCTGTATCCTTCAACACAAGTCTTTGAAAGTAATTTCCCTGAGGGAAGTTAATGTTTCAAAACAGTGTAATTACAGAACTCAGATGAACTGAAGCATCCAGACGCTTTTATGTTGATTTAATTCTAACAGTTTCTATTTTTAGTTGTGCGATTCTTTGCTGGAAAGGTTCTGTGTGCTGTTAAAAGCCTGGGGACTCTGGTTATTAAGAATAGCTCATTCTCTGTATGTGTAAGTTAAGATTATATCTCCATCCAAGAGGAGACAGTTAGTGCAGGGAGGCAATACAATACAGTAGCTTCAGTGTGAAGTCAAGCCAACATGGGCAGGAGATCAGGCAGAGTTCTTCCTCTATGCTATACTATTAATATGCACTTGTGAGAATTCTTCAACCAAGCCATTTATTCATTTATTTATTTATTGTTTTTTATCCTGAGATCTTTTCTCTCAACCTCTTTCTAGTGGTTTCCACCATTACTGTCTCTTCTCACAGAGGACTCAGACATATTGGCAGGTCGCCCATGACAGCAGCCAGACAAACACAACTTCAACGGGACATGTGCTTCATTTAACCTACTGCAGATGCCCGTGTCGGTGTGGCTTTAAGCACGCCAACGCATCACATGCACACCTTACGAAAACTAAAAAGATCAGAAGAAACCAGACCTACTGTGTGGTGCCGGTTTTCATATTTCTTTTTAGATTCTGTTATGTTTGCCTGTCATGAATGCCTGCCTGCTTTAAAAGGGGCACCAATTTTCATTTTGCGAGTCATGAGTACTGCTCAGCCTGTGAAATGGTATGAAGTTTTCCATGACTCTGAGGGAGCTTTGTGAATCAAGAGAAAATGACTTCACGTGCATCTTGGTTGCATGGAGCTTGAAAGAGTTTACCAGATAGGGTTAGTGTAACAAAAGACTGAGACATGTTGCAATTTGAACAATTTTGGAGCTCAATATAAAATACTGTGCACACAATCTGAAGTTACAGATCCAAACCCAAATACCACAGTCTAATAAGAGAACCTTTATAAGCTTTAATTACTGGTTAATAAAGAATTTACCAATGAGTTAAAAGCCGTTCATAAGAAAAACATTTAAATCTGTCAAACAGTCTACCAGGTGAAATTAACACACAACTAGGCAACCCATATCTCTTATTAATGGATAATAGTTTATCTATAAAGCCTTAATGAATGAGTTATTAAGAATTAAGCTTATAAGCACTTTGGTGCTTAATGGTGACTCATCTGATGCATTACTCCGTCCATTTACACCTCACTCACAGTAAAAAGATACATAATTACAGATTATGTAAGTTCATTTTTAAAGTCGCTCAAATGCACCAGCATTGGTTCAACTCTTTGTCTCTTTCCCCTCCGTCCTGTTCATACAAAACTGGTCGACACTTCCTGTCAGTGACTCTCCACTGGCCCTGAGAACTGATGCTTACATAGTGTTGCCGGATGAAGAATGGGACAAATCATGCATACAGCAGGGGGATCGACGGTCAGTCAGTCTGTCGGTTAGTTTTAAAGACAGACACACACACACATGCATACACAAACACACACTCTCCAGTCTGAGTGCCAGTGATAACATAGCTCAGTGGACCCATCTCCTCATTTCCGTGTCCTCTTCCAGAGTTGGTTCTGGCACTGCAGCTTCCGCTAGCAGCTCCAGCCAGAGACATCAGAGCAGGCCTGTATCCACTCTGAGGTGTGTGACTGTGTCGTCTCCTCTCTGTTCCCATAACCCAGCATGCCCGGCTGCCCCCTCACCCACTGCCCAGCAGGGAGAGAATAAATGAATATGAATCTAGACCAGGTGAATGTAAAATCTGCCTCAGAAGAACAAGAGGTCAATAGGTCGGCACACATCAATACTTCTAATGCTGACAGCTAAGAACTAAGACTAAGAAGATCAATGTTATTGATCCAAAGCAGACACATTGTAAAGGTTCACCCACACAAATCTCACTAATTATTTTTGACATTTCACATCAGCCACCGTTCTCATGTGTTTGTATTGTCACACACAGTCGGCATGAAGGACACTTAATGATAGAAGCTGTGGGAGTCTGCAATTTGCTTTCAATTAAAAAGTGGAGAGCAGACATCGGGTTTGTTCAGGTCCCTCCATTAGAAGAGGGACAATGTTATATTTAATGCTGATTCAGGTATCTGTGTTACTATTTTCAGTTCAGTTGTATATAAATGTTTTTTGCGGTTTCAAATGCAGCAGCTGCAATTACAATTAAGCTGCCACGTTGTACAGTAGTTGTTGCTGATGCAGCAGTCCTCAGACCACTCATCAGTTTAATATTGCAGTCTAATGAAGCCAAACATAATCACCATATAATTACCATACTTCAACATGAGGAAATTCATTAGTTTCCCACTGATCTCCTGTAAAATTACAGAATACTTGCTTGTGTCCTTTGTGATCAAATTCTAATTAAGTGTGCTTTGAAACTTGGAGTCTGAATCAAGAGCTTCATTATAATATTGAAAAGGCTGAGAGCCGCTGGGGTTTCCTCACCAACTCCTGCTGGTGATTTACCTTGCTGCCTTTAACTCAGATGTAAGGTGGACTAGAAGGAGCTCATTGTGGTCTGACGTCCTGCGGGGCATGAAGTAAATAAAGGTGGACTGGTAGTTTCATGCTGCATCGATGAAATGTACTCAACTTTTTATCTCAATAAAATCCAAATGGATAGCATCCCTTATTTTCTGTGAAGCAAACATGTTTGTTGTATTTATATGTCAGATAAAGGCATTTCAAAGTCTAGCTGGCGTTGTGAAAAATAACCAAAAACATTCTGACCAAACCTAATGTGCTGTTTCATACCTCACATATTCAATTACACAGTAGCTTGAGCTTAATTTCTGCTGCTTTTCAGTTTACAACTTTTACTAGGAATTAGAGATTAGAGATTTTTTTTTGCTCCTCTGACCAATAAAACTTCTTTAACCTGAGGTGCATCTTGTACTGATAAACACTCACCACTCACATCCGACATCTTTTCTCCATATGGCTCAGGTTCTCCACCCTGTGGTGGCTGAGTGTATTTTGTACAACAGCTGGACACGTGCATAGTCTGACATAACAGATCAGATTATAGTATCAAAGACAAAACACCCACGGGTGACAAAGACACCACACAAGTTAAGAAGCAGTTAAAAAGATTTAGTAAAAAAAGGCAATTTTTAACTATTTAGTGTCTATTTACAATCAATAACACGGAACTATAGTGAAATAAAAACAGAAACTGGTTTAGCACTTGTTGCAAAGATTAGGAAGAATGAAAAGAGTCAAATCAAACAATAAGATTTGTTTTCGTGACTGAAAAATATTTAGAAATATGAAAGAGTCAGAGCAGAAAATCTACAAAATCTTAGCTGCCATTAGCAAACAAGTGATATGTTAAGACTAATAAATGGATAAAGCATAGCTGTTATTACTGTATACATCATCTTCTATGTACAAAGACATTTCTCACACACCAGGAACACAAGAACAGTATAAAAAAAAAAGTACAACCAGTGAATCAGTGGTAAAGAGATGAAGACAGAAGAACAAACAACCGGTGGGTTTCATTCATCCTAAAACAATGAGGAAAAACGTGTATCTGACATTTCAAAGGCGACGAGTTTAATTAAAAATTGCCTAAAAACAGAGCATAATAAAAAGTAGTGTAGAAGAAAATCCACACTTGGGTAGTTTCCTCTCCTGTTTAATGTGCCTCATTATCTTACTTGTGATGTGATTGCCTTTATTTCTCATGACTCTCAGCTACCAACAGAGAGAACGGGACAGAATAAACAAAATGAAGTGACACACACACACACACACACACACACAGAGAGCCCCCTTCCCCGAAAAAGAAAGAAAGAAAAAGGTGCAAGTGTTAAAACCCTTTAACGTGGATGTTACCTTTACTACTACTACATAGTTCAATGTGTCTTTTTTGAAAAGTGGAGTATTAATCTTTTGTGTATCTATGAGTGTGTGTACGTGTATATTTCTACAAATAAATCACAAGTGCAAGACTCTCTCTCTCTCTCTGTGTGTGTGTGTGTATACACTGATCTACTGAACGTGACAGTTTTCTTGTTGCGTTTGCTGTTTCTCTTTCTGACACGTAGCTTTCTCCTCGCCACTCGGGGAAAGACACGTCCTGCTGGAGCTGTTGGCGGAGGGACTCTGGAGGAGAATGGGCCCCAAAACCTGTGGAGGAAGAGCAGGATAAGATGGATGACAAGATGAAGAGAGAACGAGTGAAAGAGTAAATACACAACAAAAGGAGAAAGTGGATCATTTTGGAATTAAATAACGAAGTTAATTTGGCAGCAACATTTCAGTATAAGTGAACACAATGTAAAGACAGTCAAACAGGGAACTGTGGGACATTCTTTCCTGTTGACCTCTTTAACCTGAAACCTCTTCATCCTCTGAATCACCCCTGGTTCACTTCAGCTGACCTGACGCAGTTAGAAGCTGACCTGGACTGACTAAAAGCTGAGAGGGGTCAGGATATCCTGTAGACATATTAGGGGCCCGGCGCTTTAACGACCACATACACGCTGACCTGGAAAGTTGGCGGAAATTGTGAACTCTTTGACTCTACTGAGTAGTCTCCAAAGGTTCCTCCAGATATCCACAGATGAACTATATCACTGCCTTTATGTCGATCTTGCTTGGGTATTTTCAGCCAGTGTGGAAATTAAAAGGTAATTCTACATTATATTTTATAGTTATATTAATATTACTTCTCATGTAATGTTTCACTGTGTAATGATTGTATTGCAGCAACAAATGATTTGCTGTTCTGAAGAGTTATTTGTGTTGACATGCAAGCGTACCAAATAAAGTGGCCACAGAGTG